GTAACTATAGAGCGGTAAAAAATTCGTGGTGCAACTTTTCCTCAAATATCTCTTTTAACGGGAGAATCATTGTCACCCATACTTTGCACAGCAGTTTGTATTAAAAAATGTCTTAACCGAATCATATTTTTCCACAACAATTGAGGCTCGATCAAAAAAATGTTCTTCATAAATTTATATAAAATACTAGGCCTATAAATCTCCATCACGCGAAAAATGTGATTGTTCATAGCACTTCTCGCACACATTTTGCATACGCATATGGCCTATGTCATAGCTCGCCAATGACACTTTTTAGTGGCAAAACTTCATACAAAAATGTTTTTTATGATGAACACATTCTTTTTACACTAAAGGTTTCTTAAACATACGTTCAATAAGCATGCATGCTATTGCGATTGAAAAAAAATGACAGACTTGCTTTTAAAAGCCATATTGCCGGAGCCGTAATTTTTTTTTTAATTTGCAGAAACAATCGACTGGGATTTTTTATTAGTACTTATTAAGGAATTTTCTAGAATACAGTGAGCAGGAGTTTGAAACAATATTCACCTGATAAGACAAATTGATATAACTTATAAGTCACTGTGCAAAAGTTGGAGCCTATGTTCGATAGGTAAGGAGATATTTCACAATAAGTTGCGCCGTGCATTTTTTACAACACTATAGGCGTAAGTTGGTATACTATGAATTTAATGTGTACTCTTAACTCATATTCCACGCAGGGCGTTACCTGATTAATGATCTCTTCTCAATCTAATAGCATAATATAATTATACCCTGCCGACCCCATCGTTCGCCCCCACATTCCCTTCGCCAACTCGTCCCACCCCCCCCCCCCTCTCTCTCTCTCTCTTTCTCTCTCTCTCTCTCTCTCTTCCCCCCCTCTCTGTCTCTCCCCCCCCTCTCTCTCTCTTTCTCTCCCCACCTCTCCTGGATTCCTTTTATTGACAAATAACAACATGGGTGCCGAGGGGAGGAAATGTCAAATTTTGGTTCACCTACGGCCACTAGATACCTCACAATCGTATTTAGACATTTTAAGCATTCTCCTAGTAATAAAACTCCTTACATCAGGAGCTTCGTTAAACTGGCCATTTTCCTCCAGTATTTTTGCAAAGTCCAGATGCATGCATATTTGCCTACGGTCCCGTAACACCACGCCTTAGCGCAGGTAGGACATACGGTCCCCTAGCGCCTAACATTATGGGGGCATACGGTCCCCTAGCGCCAAGCGCTATTGGGGCGTACGGTCCCCTAACAATAGCCCTTAAAAAAATGATTTAAATCACTGATTTTTATTTTAAAAATCAAGTTGATTAAAATTTTAAAAATCAACTGATTTAAATCAACCCAACCCTGGCTAGATTTTCTCAAAAAATGGTTAGAACACCCAAGAAGTATGTTTTTCTGTTGTGATAAGTCAAAAAAAGGAAATCTAGCACCGGTTTGAAATGGCAACAGACAGAGCGAACTGGTGATCATAAATCGTGGGACTAAGTCCGACATTTTGACTTTACGTGAAGTGCCAAATTTACTTCCAAAAACGAAATGAATGAAAGTTTTTATGCTCAGACTACGCGATACTCATTTCTATATCGATTTTAGCCGTCATTTGAGAAAATTTAAGAAATTAGTAGATTAGAGAGTCGTTTGTGAAGCACCCCTCCTGCTAAGTCGCCGACAACTAACGGCCGGAATCGGCATTTCTCGGATATTTATGGAAAATCATGAGGGCTTTCCGCGAAGCCAAGGCTAAAAACTACTTCCATTTGGCGCCCTTCTTTTATTCTTTTAGCATCCTCATCGATGAGGTGGATGTTATGTTTTGTTTTCCAAGTTTTTTCTTTCTAAGACTCTAACGCCCAAAACACACCAACGTTGGAAACCATTACAAATCCAACCCAGTTACACATGTTTATCTGTCATATTTATTATATATGTTTATATTGATTGAAAGACTGCAACACAACATGTAGCACATGTTGTTGTTGTTGTTGTTGTTTTCAAATCCCTTTAGCTGCGAGCATTTCGCTCTTGGCAGCGCAATGCCTCCCTCAAGTAACCACATGTCCTTGTCATCTGGTCAACCCCAAAGTAGAGCAGTAGCACATGTAGGAAATAAACAAATGACGCTAGGGACAAAAATAGCACATTCTCTTTTTTGATTGTCTTGTTTGATGCCGATAAAGCTTTGAGACGTCCAGATCATTGCCGATGATGATTTCGTGGTCTTATAGGCTGTTCCGACGCTCTGAGCCAT